AGGCGTATAGCCATAATTCTTTTACCTGGATACTACACCTAGAGCTATAATTTAGTTGGAGTTGTTTGCTAATGGCTTATAAATGGTAATTCAATTCATGAAAGTCTAGCCTTATCTTATTCATAAATTCAAACTAGTTGAGTTCGAACAACTACTTAAACTTGCTTATAAAATGAGTTTCGTCATACATGTGAACAACTTGTTTAGTATTTTGGGTTTTTGGTTTAGAACTTAAGATTTGTTACACGAGTTGGGCCACATCAAGATTGTTAGGACAAACAACTCAAAACTCAGTTCTCATCAAGCCCAACATACAAGCCCAAATGAGGTTTCATTCTAAAATCAATTGGCAATAGAGGGAGTAGCCCACTTAGCTTATATATTGGACTTTAAACCTTCAATTTTCCGATGTGGGATTGAGTTTGCATACCCAACAAACCTCCCATCAAACACAAGACCACATCGGCCTCCCCTTAAACGAAATTCATACGATCCGACCATCTTGTACCGCTGTTATCACCCACAGAACCTGCCGCCTGACCACACCCTTTCTCCAGGAAGACTTTCGACACAAGCCACACGGATCCACCGGCCCTTCTGACTCCACGGGGAACATGTCACGTCATCCACATCGCAACTGGACTACCAACAGTGGCTCTGATACCTATTGTTAGGATCAAGAACTCATAACTCAGTTCTCCATCAAACTCAACATACAAGCCCAAATGGGGTTCCACTTTAAAACCAATTGACAATAGAGGGAGTAGCCCACTAAGTTTATATATTGGACTTGAAACCTTTAATTTCCGATGTGGGATTGTGTTTGCACATCCAACAAATACCGAGCTCACATATTTTATTTTCTGTTTATTAAGTGGGTTTAAGCTAAATTGCTTTATTGAACTAGCAAGAGTTCAAACATGTTCTTACAACAGATGTACAAGTTTACACATTTTCAATCATGTTTTGCATAAAGATTCCTCAGCTTTAACATAAACTCATGGATTATTAACCATATAGAACAAATATTTTATAAACTAATGGACAGAAAATCAAATCGTACCAAAATATTGCGATTTTCCAAAACTCAAGCCGCTCGGTTACCAAACTCTTCAAAAACAACACTGAATAGCTCGGTTAGGTTTGATTTTTCAGTTTCGGCTCAGTTTTGCTCACCCCTAGTCATTCAGACTTTCTATCCTCCGACCATTTTATTCTTCAAATTTTTGTTTCTCTCAAATAATAATTTTTAATAGAAGAAGATCAACTAAAGTACAAACATGTATTGAAATTGTTTCACAAGAGCCAATAATACTACATACATTTTTTACTACCATTTCAATCGTTTTAATTTTGTAACTACTAGCCACTCGCGCGTTACGTGGCCTGGTGTTAAAAATGTTGTAGAAAATTATAATTTAAATAAAAAATAACTTTATTCAATTTGCAATGAATCAGACAAATATCCTGGGGAGGATGGATGAGTGCCATTTTTTACCAACATCTTTGGGAACTTATCAAGAAGGATCTTTTGAAAGCTATTCTTAGTTCCTTTCAATCAGGTATGCTTCTGAAATACTGGAACCACACTGACATTTCTTTGATACCAAAATGTTCAAATCCAGATACTTTGGGACAATTTAGACCTATAAGCCTATGTACTGTGGTTTACAAACTCATATCTAAAGTTTTGGTTCAGAGTTTAAAAACATGTTAAGTTGTTGTATCAGTGATTATCAATATGAATTTGTTTAGGGCAGACAACTCATTGACAATGTTATCATTGCCGAAGAAGACTTTCATTTCTTAAACACACTCTTCAGGTGCTAATTTCATTATGGCTCTCAAGTTAGATTTAATGAAAGCATTTGATCATGTTGAATGGCTTTGTGTGAAGAAAATAGTGCTTCAAATGGGGTTTCACAGTGATTTTGTTAAGTTGGTAGTGGTATGTGTCTGTACAACTTCTTTCTCTTTTAAAATTAATGGGAATGTCAGTGGCTTTGTCACTCCTTCTATGGGCATAAGGCAAGAGGAGACCCTGTCCTCTTACCTGTTTATCATAGTAGTTGAGCTTCTTACTACATTGATTATGCATTCCATTGACTCTGGCTTGTTTAAGGGGATGAAGTTATACAAGAATGGCCCTTTGCTTTCACATCTTCTCTTTGCAGATGATTCCTTATTCTTTTGTAAAGAAATTACTGATCAAGCTGCAGTCCTCATGACAATCCTTGAAAAATACAAGCTCTTTACAGGCCAAACTGTCAACTTGGAAAAGTCTGTTATTTTCTTTAGCAGGAACACATCTCAACATCACCATTCCTCCATTTGCAGAGCCTTCAATTGTATTGTTTCTCATAGGTCCACCATATATTTAGACCTTCCACATGGAATAGGCAAGTCAAAGAAGGAAGTGTTTGAATATTTGCTAAATTCTGTCATAAGTAAGTTGCAGAGTTAGAAGGCAAAACTCCTCAGTCCTGCTGGAAAGGAATTGCTTCTCAAAGCAGTGATTCAAGCCCTGCTAGTATTCTCTATGTCCTGCTTTAAACTTTCATTGACCCTATGTGCATAAATTTCAAAGCTTTGTGCCAAATTTGGTGCAACACTGGAGATCAAAATCTAAGAGCATTCATTGGAAAAAAATGGATCTTTATTCCTTCCCTAAACAGCAGGGTGGTATTGGTTTCCATGACTTACAGATGTTCAATCAGGCACTTATATGCAAACAAGTGTGGAGGATTGCTTCAAATCATGACCTTCTTGTTAGCAGGCTCTTAAGGACAGATACTTCCCAAACACCTTCATCACTCATACAGTCAAAACCCAAAGGGGATCTTGGACGTGGAATTTTCGAAGACGGTGTCAGTGAGTCTCAATTATGAGTGAGTCTCTGTTATGTGCAGAACATTGAACTAAACCAGATCATAATCGCAAAATCTCGATCTTATTTGTGAGGTAAGTTCTGTCTCTTTTGATTTCAGTTCTTTATATTTTAGCCAAAAATATTTAAATTGATGAGTTGAGTTTTATTTTTTTACCCATTTTTAGACTGATTTTGTCTCTAAGTAACAAATATTTTGAGGTGTGCAACCATGGGTTGCAAATTAACTTATGAATGTTTCTAATGTTCATGAAGCCTTAAGATTATGTAACATCTATCGGTGATTATATGTTTCAAACTTCTTGTTTTTGAATGGTTATGTATGGACATTACTAACGTCTTTTCTTTTGACTACCCTTAGCTATGGAACAATTGTAGTAAGTTCTAAAAATTCTGGTGTTTAGCATCTCTATTTATATTGTGTTTCACATGATTTTTGTCTTCCCTACCAATGATGGAAAAAAGAATACTGTAAATAGGTTCTGAAAATTCTGAAGATTTATTGCCTATTTTTCCTTCATATGCGAGGTTTTTTTTACTTACCTCACTTATTATATAAATTATAATACAATATAAAAACATTAATAACACATTACTACAGTGGGCCGGCTGTGCATGGCACGGCCGGAGGCTACTAGTATTTTAAATGTTGATAATTAAAATATTAAACAACTTGATATTAACCACGTGATGACTTAGCGAAGATTTGTTAACTTTATTGGCTTTGGGACCAAAATTGAAACAAACAAAGAAATGACTATTTTTGTGGGAGCAAAATTAATTTCTAATTCTAATTCAAAATACAAGAGTTTAATTTTCTTAAATAATGAAGTTGTTAAATGAATTGTTTCACTTTTCTAGTATGTTAGATTATACATATATATTCTTAGAGGTGGCAAGGGTCGGCCAGGCCCGCCAACCCAACCTGGAACCAATCCCGAACCGGCCAGATCTACGGGTCTTGAACCGGACCAGTGGTAAAATCGGGCTGATTCCAGGTCTTAATTTTATTTTTTTGACCTGTTGGTTCCGAGTCAGAAGACGGGTTAGAGTTGTTTTATTTTTATTTTATTAAAAAACCGACAGTTCAATGAACCACCGAACCGCTGGGTCGAGCCGGTTTACTGAACCGGTCCTTAGATATAGCCAGGCCGGTTCTAGGTCCGGCATTTGAGGCCTGGCCGATCCGCTGGGCTGGGCCGAGTCGTGAACTTGCCTTGCTGATGGCCATGTCCATATATTGTACGTGCCCGTGGTTTTGGTAAACTTTTAGATATCTTTTCTTAATTAAAATAAGTATGTATCTGTGAAATTATTTATGGTATATAAGTTATCCCTCAATCAAATTGTCATTTTTTACCAAGTTTATCGTTTCGTTAAATTGTGGATTGGTAAATAAATAGTCAAATAATAAAGTGTTAAATGAATTGTTCTACCTTTATGTATATATTTCACGTGTGCACTATTTCGGTAAAATTTTAGGTATCTTCTCTTAATTAAAGTTAAATATATATCTTCGAAATTATTTATTATATACAAGTTACCCCGAAACTAAGTTGTCATATTTTCACCAAGATTTATCGTTTTGTTAAAATTATAGATAGGTAAATAAATGGCTGAAAATATTTAGATTTTTTATATGTATTTATTATGCTGATTTTATTGGATTGATTTTCTTTTAACTTTTATATATTAAAATTATTAAACGTTGTTACATTTTTGTTACTAAAAATATGAATATTTTCCAAAACAACAATTCTTTATCCTTCAAGATTTTGTTGTTTGGGTTCATGTTTGGTTGATTTTTTGAAACATATGGAAGGGCTTTTAGTGAAAGGTCAATTTGATGAGCTAATATTTTTAGTCCTTCTCTAACCTCGGCTTCG